GATTTCAGGCATTCCCCTGAGGAGGACTTCAGGCAGTCACCCCAGGAGCATTTCCGGAGGCCACCTCAGGAGCATTTCCGTCGGCCACCCGCAGAGCATTTCCGGAGACCACCTCCAGAGCATTTTAGGCGGCCTCCCCCAGAGCACTTCCGGCGGCCACCCCCAGAGCATTTCAGGCGCCCACCCCCAGACCATTTCAGGCGCCCACCCCCAGAGCACTTCCGGAGACCGCCCCAGGAGCATTTCAGGCGGCTGCCTCAGGAGCATTTCAGGCGCTCCCGAGAGGAAGATTTCAGGCACCCACCAGATGAAGACTTCAGGGGTCCTCCTGATGAAGACTTTAGGCATCCTCCTGATGAGGACTTCAGGAGCCCCCAGGAGGAAGATTTTAGATGCCCTTCTGATGAGGACTTCAGGCAGCTCCCAGAGGAAGACCTTAGGGAAGCTCCGGAGGAGGACCCTAGACTTCCTGACAATTTTAGACCTCCTGGTGAGGATTTTAGGAGCCCGCCTGATGATTTTAGAAGTCACCGCCCTTTTGTGAATTTTGGTCGTCCAGAAGGTGGCAAGTTTGATTTTGGAAAGCATAATATGGGAAGTTTTCCTGAGGGGAGATTTATGCCTGATCCAAAGATAAACTGTGGTTCAGGTAGAGTAACTCCTATTAAGATAATGAATCTTCCATTTAAAGCTAATGTTAATGAAATTTTAGACTTTTTCCATGGTTACAGAATCATACCTGATTCAGTTTCAATACAGTATAATGAGCAAGGCTTACCTACAGGGGAAGCCATTGTTGCTATGATAAACTATAACGAAGCTATGGCTGCTATTAAAGATCTAAACGATAGGCCAGTTGGGCCCCGAAAAGTTAAGTTAACTTTGCTGTAGAGAGAGAGCATTTCTAAATTCAGTTATCTTCCTTGCAGTATTGATGGAGTAAAATACATTTGTTTTAAAAAGTGTGTGTTTTTTTTTTTAAATTATCTAATGAAGTATTTTATTTTTGACCTGTGAATAGAACAAATGTAAATAGTAGAATGTGAATCTGGTTTTCTTTTGCTTGCAAATTGCCATTTTTTTTCTAATTTAAAATTACATATGCTGTTTTTTCCTTTGATGGGGAGGGGAGAAAGAACTAATTCCCTAAGTTCATTCATTTTTGTTGATGTCATGGGTAAGCTTCAAGACTTATTGAAGTAGAGTTGTATTTGGGGAAGATACATTTTATATTCACTTTTTTTCCCCCATTCTGTAGTCTACATCGTTTACTCAAACTGTATAAGGAAATAGTGACTGTTCAGGTTTGGCATTTTCATTGCTACTTGCCTGCAGAATTAATGCCCTCTTCCTTGTCTGAGATATTACTGTGTTAAGTGTCCTGTTAATTATAAATAGTTCAAAATGGACAGACTGTCAACTTGAAATTTACTTATGTAAAAAGCTTAGGTGATTCTTAGGGTTTCCATGTTCATAACTTTACAAAGTTTTATAACAATAAAATTGCAACTTAATAGAACAACTAATTAACTTGTATTTGTATAAAAAGAAAAAAGAATTGCAGCTTGATACTGTGAAGTTTTTCAGTAACTTCATTAAACCATATTTATGATGGGAGGGACCAGACATTCTATAGTAATAATGTATAGTGCTGTGTATAATTCCATGGTTTCTTCAACATCTTATCAACCAAATACGATTAATACAACATACGCAAAAGACAGTAAAATAAGAATCTAATTAAAGGTGCAAGAGGACTCAGGCTTATGCTGGGAAGAATCTGACAAATGGTATAGTTTTCCTAGGAAGAATTTACTGATGAGTCACATAACTTGCATGTAATATTAGGTTCTCATTTTTTAGCTTCAAAACTTTGTGTCCATGCAAAGACTCCATAACTGTTAAGACTTGTGTGGTTGAATTTTTACTTCTTTGATATTCAGCATTTAGTGCATACATTTTGCAAATAGGGAATTTGATTTTCTGTACCCATAATATTATTTATGGCTAACATTTATTAGGCACTTACTATGTGCTAGGCACTGTAAGCACTTTACATGCATAATCTCAGTATTCCCTATGAGTACAGGGTTAATTATTTACCTCTATTTCACAAATGAGATAATGAAGTGGGAGGTTAAGCAACTTGCTTGAAGTCACAGGTAATAAATCATGGGGCCAGTTTTAACCCAGACAGACCACTGACTCCAGTTCATGCTTTTACTGCCTCACTTTTTTAAGTGGTATTTTTAATTAGGAAGACCATGCTAAAGATACTTTCAAGGATAAGTGATATATTTTCTCACTTCAGTTGTTGGTTTAAAACTAGCATAAAAAGGTAAAACCAGCATGCTCAAACATTGAGCTCAAACATTGACATTATTAATAAAACCCGAGTGACTTTAAAAGTTTCTTTCTATCCAGGGTTTCTCTTGGGATACGCACATTGTATATTACTGGCTTATATTTCACAATTGCTCATTTTATTCAACATGATTGACTCTGGTTGGCCTTTTATAATTTTCATGAAACATAATTTTCCTCAATTCTGTAATCCAGATTTTCCCCATTGAGTAAATAAGAATACAATTGAATTTGCATAGGGTAATTTAGACATTTAATAGGATATTGCATAGGTAGAATACTTTGTCAGTACTTAGTTACTACCTATATGTATTTTTGTGTTACTTTTCAGTGATTTAAATCTAACAAATCTGCTTAAATTTGTTTTAAATAGTGAATATCCTGCTCACTATGGAATGAATAAACAGGTAAATTTGATACAAAAAAGCACCGCAGTGTGATTCTTTAAGCTTGTAAGTAGCTAAGATAACATTAAATTGTTTGGAATATCCAAACCAAGCACAATAAAGAAAGTAGAAAGAAATATTTTTAATTGAGCAGAGATTGTATAGATGGTTCATCTGGTCACCCATCTTGAATATATGGAAAGTTAAAAAGTACTTCTCAAATACAAAGGAATAAAGCTAAGATGAAGCTTAACGTGAGGAATTACTTACTGTGGAACTGCTTTTCAAACTAGGCTGAGGTGCGATGGTGGTGGTAGTTAAGAGGCCAGCTATAGTAAACATAAGCTTTATAGTTTTATTATTTTAAGAGCCAGAGTCTTGTTCTGTTGGCCAGGCTGGAGTGCAGTGGTCTGATAATGGTTCACTGCAGCTTCCAACTCCTGGGCTCAAGCTGTCTTCCTGCCTCAGCCTCCTGAGAGCTGGGACTACAGGTGTGTGCCATCTTGTCTGGCTAACTTTTTTTTTATTTGTAGAGACGGTCTCACTGTGTTGCCCAGGCTGTTCTCAAATTTCTGGCCTCCTGGCCTCAAGTAATCCTCCCTCCTTGGTCTCCCAGAATGTGTTGGGATTACAGGTGTGAGCCACTCTGCCCAGCCTTGTATTTTGATTTTTAAATTATGTGAATATTTCATTTTACTCCATAATATATCCGGGCTTAATATTTTTAAACTTCATTATAAAACGTTTATTACAGAAGTGGTGTCTTCTAGTTGGGAGCCATCTTTGCACATCTCTCTCCAACTCTGCCTTTAGTGATATGTCAATAACAAATTGGCCATGACAGGAGTATTTTACACCATGGAAATTGATAAATGCAGCAAATCAAGGAATTCCCCTTCCGTTGTCCCCTCAGAGAGCCAGCTTCCCAGCACCTCATCAATTTCAAATATAAAAAAATAACAGTAAATTTTCATGTACACATCACTCAGCTTCAGTAATTGTCATCTCATAGCCAGTTTTTCCTCTCCTATCCTCAAGGTATACCAGGTACACTGGTGGTGTATTCTCTAGTCTGATATCCAGTGGCATTTGTCTTAAACATTTTTGTCTAGAAAGTATCTAAAAAAATGTAGATCATGTCTAGAAAGTCAATCCAACAACCAAGAGATAGGTAAAAATCATATTAGGAATGCATTTCTATTAATTTACTGACATCACTGTTAAGAGCAGTGGTTCTTGATCCATATGTCACCTGTTAAGTAGTGACCTTGCTGCCTCTGTTTTTGCAGTAAATAATAGCTGTTGTTTATTGAGGTGTATTAGATACTATATGATGTATAATTATGTATGAATTAACTATCATTTAATTCTGATAATCCTAGTAAATGTACTACAGGTCGAGTATTCCTGATCTGGAAATTTGAAATTTCAAATGCTCCAAAAATTGCAAGCTTTTTGAGTGCCAACATGATGCTCAAAGAAAATGCTCATTGCGGCATTTAAGATTTCAGATTTTTGGGTTAGGAATGTTGAACTGGTATAATGCAAATACTCCAAAATCTGAAGAAATCCAAAGTCTTAAATACTTCTGGTCCCAAGCACTTCAGATAAAGGATACTCAATTTGTATTCCTATTTTGGAGGTAAGAGATGGAGACTTACAGGCTGGGTTGGTTGGATTGGTTGCCTGTTTTTTGTTGTTGTTGCAGTGGGAAGCTAGGAATGGTTTTTTACATTTTTAAGTGTACTTAAGTCTTAAATGGTTACATAAGTACCCGTATAATAGTCTTGAATTTGCCTCAACCCGCCAAGAGTAAAAATGTTTACTATCTGGCCCTTTAAGAAGTTTGCCAACCTAGGTCTGGTCTAAATAATGAAAATTTTACATTAATGAAGGTATTTTCATGGATAGTATTCCTTTTGTTCTTAGAATATTTCTCTGAGGTAGGCAGAATGTATGTTTTATTCTAGAATTATTGGTTTATGCAGTTTTAACTTTACAAATAAGGCAAATCATGCTCAAGAGAAGTTGCTATTTAGTAAACAGCAAAATAAATATAATAACTGTTTTCCCCCGAACTACAACCAAATTTAAATACTAAGTGAGGAAGCAGTAAATATCCAATGATAATCTTGAGTTTCTTAATATCAATTTATTTAGGGTTTTAAAAAAAGTACTGAAATAACTTTGTCACTTAGGACTATTCTCAGGAAAGAGTGCTTTGTCAAGAGCCATGAATGACAAAGTCAAAAGCTTTCTAGAACTCTTTATTTTTCTGTTATGAATAATTGCATTTTCTAATTATCCCAAATGATTTTATAAATTCCCTTTTATATGCCTGCCTGGGATCCATGAAATAAAAGTATAATTCCTTACCAAAAGAGAAGCATCAGAGACACTGAAAGGCTCCAATTGTTTTATATTTTCAGAAATAAAAGTGATTGTATACCCTTTTATTAACTGCATGGTAGCTTGGTAAAATTTTTATAGAATTTTTAATGATTTATGGTGTTCTGTGATGAGGCAACATTCCACTAAATTGGCCTTCCAAAAGTTGCAGTATCATGTATAAGTATGACAGTTTTGTTTTAAAACCAGAGTCAGATTGAATGTGGCTTTTTTTACAGCTGAAATTTATGCCTTATGTGTATTCATAACACATTGATATCTTAGTGTCACATTATCTTTATTTGATTATACTCTTGAAAAGTAAATTTACTTATCAAATGATAAAGTTTTAAGGGAAAGTAAAAAAAAAATATTTTTTCTTAAGGCTTCATGGAATAGAATTACATGTAATCAGAATGACTACATAGGACCCTTTTCTGGTAATGAAAGCATGGAGTCTTAACCAAAAAGCTAAGCAGAATTGTTAGATCTTTTGGTTTCTGTCATAATGTACTATTGGAACTTCAAGTAGATATAGTACATTAATATGAAATACTTTGAAATACACCATCTTTGAAAAAAAAAGGTACTTACACAAAAATCACCTAACACTAGTTAGGATGTTGAAATGACTGGTATGTAATATTTTTTAAAGCCTTCATTTTTGGTCAGCATAAGTTTCCTTTAATTATTTTTCTGTTTCCAGTTGGACTTCACTTTGAGGCATAACATATCAAAGTGAGTATAAAGTTCTACAGTTTAGTCATTGTGGATTCCATGTCATTTATGATGAAAATGGAAATGTGTAGTTTACTTAAGAAAATTTTCTTCTTCTGTAACATCTAACTCTTCATCCTCATCATCATCTGCTTGTTGATCCTTTCTTAGTCGACAAGTGGATACCTGTTAAAAGTCAACACACTTTTTAAAATAAAAATACTAACAAAAAATTTTTACATGCTTGGTATCTTTTTATGCTATTAAAGAAAAGGGCACACAACAAATATTTCACAAAAAAGTCCATGTCATAATTTTTAGTAGTGACAATTCCCTATGAATTTTAAGGTCAGAGGTCAGTTTTTTCATTCATGATATTTTTGAATAAAAATGTGTAATTAGCCATTTGATTTTAGTTGGATAGCCATCAATACTTCAGAAACACTACTTTAAAAGTATAGACTTAGTATATTATGAATGGTAAAAATAAATTTTGGGTCACAAAAACAGCATTTGAGAATCATAAAATGGATGGCAAAAATAGAAGGATATTTCAGCTAGGCAGTGGGACAGAAATACTGATGTAAAAGTAGTGTGATTTAAATGGAATGAGTTGAGAATCTGAACTCACCAGTTTTAAGTTGCCTGACTGCTGCCACATAGGGCATGTTGCTTAAAACTTCTCTGAGAGTGATTATATCTAACCCAGAGGACATTTGGGACTGTCTAGAGACACTGTTGTTTGTCACTATTGGGGCTGTGTGTTTATGTGTGCTGCTGGCATGTTGTGGGTAGAGGCTGGGATGCTAATATCTGCCTAATATTGTCACAATATACAGGACAGTATTCCATCCCCTTCTTCCTTCCTGGTGGGCCCAATTATTTGTCCCAAAGTCAGCAGTGTTGAGGTTGAGAAACCTGGGATAATGCATTCTAAAGTGCTATACAAGTGTTAGCTAAGGTAACATTATTAGTTGTAGTCAAAACCTTTCTTTTTTTTTTTGAGACGGAGTCTCGCTCTGTTGCTTAGGCTGGAGTGCAGTGGCCTGATCTCACTGCAACCTCCGCCTCCCAGGTTCACGCCCTTCTCCCGCCTCAGCCTCCCGAGTAGCTGGGACTACAGGTGCCTGTCATCATGCCCAGCTAATTTTTTTTTTTGCATTTTTAATAGAGATAGGGTTTCACCGTGTTAGCCAGGATTGTCTCGATCTCCTGACCTCGTGATCCAGCCACCTCGGCCTCCCAAAGTGCTGGGATTGCAGGCGTGAGCCACTGTGCCCGGCAAAACTTTATATGGACTATAAAAGTAAATTTATAGAATTTATGTTCAAAGCACTTAATGCTGGAATAATAAAAATATAATTGGGTTGGGGGAGAGATACATATAAAACAAAATAAATGCTTAGAGGAGAATCAAATGAAAATAGAAGGTATGAAATTTACCTAAAAGTTGTATTTTGAAAATAGTTTGTTGAGTTGCATATTCTGAAGGCTAGATATGAAAAGGGCATAGCTCTCTAGATGAGGGTTTGGCAAGTTGTGGCCCAGCCAGCCTCCTGCTTTTGTAAATAGAATTTTATTAGAACACAGTCATACTGCTTTATGTGTTACTTATAGTTGTTATTTATAGTTGTTGGGGTAGAAACCATATGGCCCACAAAGCCTAAGATACTTAGTCTCCACATCTTACAGAAAAAGTTTGTCAGCCCCTGCTCTAGATACTGGGAAACTCAGGCTTTCTGGATGTAGACAAAAATGATTTCTGTGTTCAGTAAAAGCCATTTTTTGGTATAATTTGGTATTTAACTTTATAATTTAATCAGATCCACTAAGTCTTGATAGTGAGATTTAAACCTAAGTTTGACTTCAGAATCTATGCTCTTCATATTATAGAAGATAACACATCTATATGAGCATTCTTCTGTCTTTTCCACTTCTGCTTTGAAGTGTTACGTTTTAGAGAGTAATATGTAATTACAGTATAAAAGATACTTAAGAAATAACAGAGCTGCAACTTAGTGCAATCTTCTGTCATTATAGAAGAGGAAATAGGTCCAGGGGAAGGTAAATTACCTGAGGTGGTATGACTGAGGGGAAACATTTTTAGAACTCAACAATTCCAAAGGCAGCAGCTCAAATTCCTTTAAGAGTATGGTTTCTTGCTCACCTGTCCTGTTCCAGATACACACTTAGCTGACAGTGATCTCTGAAGAGGTGACTTTGAGTTTGCTCGTACAATATCTAAACGAGATGAATAATCTGGTGCATACAGAGAATTTCGGAAAACCTATTATAATGATAAAATAGCATTATAAAGTAGATGCTAAACAAAAGACAGTCAAATTAAGTTCCTTACTTTATGTTTTTTTTTTTTTAAAACAACTGCCCCCAAATGGACAAAATTCCAATTATTGTAAATGTAAAAGAAAAAACAAAAATAAGCTAGAAAGATAAAAGCTAAAAATTCTATTTGAACTATGCAAGATGATGATAGATATTAAACAGTAATTAGTCATGAAACAAGCATTTAAATGCTTTTGCCAGGAGAACTGCAAAAGTTGAGACCTTCCAAGAGCATGCAGGCTAGTAGGGAGGCTGCGACTCATACCTTTGAATCTTTCTGTTCTGCATATGGTCAACTCCTACCAATTTAACTCTGCAGTACTGCTATGAAAATTACATAAGACTAAATTGGAACCACTATAATGTATGGATTCCAACCTTACTAGGGTCTGGAATGCCA